CCGGTGCAGACGTGAAATCCACTGGAGCTGGCTCTGCCACGGGCACCTCGCCCTGTTCCTCAATAATAGGATCCTCTGTTGGACCCACTAGTGGCATAACTGAAATAATTCTGGAACATCCTCGTCCCCTACCACGGGCTGGAGCCCTCCCTCGGCCTCTGCCTTGGCCTCTAACAACAGGGGGAGCAGCTCTTCCCTGGTTTGGAACCTCATTAGAATGCGTTCTCACCATCTATGAGAGAATAATAGAAATATATTTAGTATTACATCATTTGCATGATGGGAGATAAAGAAAGGTAGTTTCTTAACACCCTATAGCCTCTCGAAGATAAGTACAGACGTCTCCGTACCGATCCGCAAGAATCTATTAGGCCTGATCATAACTTGTGAGACTTACATGAACCTAGTGCTCTGATACCATGTTGTCACGACCCAATTTCACATATATGTCGTGATGGCGCCTAACATCACAGCTAGGCCAGCCAACTAGTGAATTAAACATATATTAATTCCTTAAATAATTATTCGAGTAATTAAACTATTCTTACATGAAAAAATTAAGAAAAGTATGAAAGATCTGACTAATTAAACCAAGAAAAAACATAGTAAAATCCAAACATTCTACTAGTGTGTGTGCCAAGACCTAGTGTCATAGGTGTATGAGCATCTAGTAGATTATACAAAATTTTAAATATTGTCTGAAATAAAATAGACAGAATACAAATACAAGAAGAGGCACTAGTTTCTGCAGAATAGCTCAGAAAAGCAGCTCACCACTAAGCCTCTAGATAGCGTGGGTGCACACCGATAGGTCCTCCGATAGCACTTGTCTCAGGTCCTACACAAAAATTGCAGTAAGCATAGCATGAGAACGTAAACAACGTGTACCCAGTAAGTATCAAGCCTAATCTCGAAGAAGTAGAGACGAGAGGTCGACTTTGACACTCACTATGGGTAAATAAATTTTTAAAATATAGAATGTTTAATAAGCATAATTTATGTGAATAATAATAATTCCCTTAACAACAGAAATCATTAATTAATTAAATTTCAATAATTTCCAATTTTATGAATTAACTTCACAAGGTGCAATTAAAATATCAAAGTATCGTGTAATTAATATTATTAGGCACGATTTCTGTCGAGGTAGTACGGCCCGATCCAGAGTGTCGTGTACACTATTGAGGGACGTGTGGCACGATCCATAGATGCATCTATACTTTCGAAGCGTTCGGCCCGCTCCATAAGAAAGGAGGACATTTTCTTATGAACCTCGGGAATGAGAAGTTATTATAATAGGGCTAACACAGAAGAATGTACAATTTCTATTAAAAATTAAATGATTTACACAAAAATTCAAGTATAAGAAATTTTTACCTTTTAACATTTTCTATAATAATTCACAATATAATTCCAGTAAATTAATTAAACAAAAGAAATAATTATCACAAGTAATTCATGATTTGAGTCCTAAACTACCCGGACATAGCATAATTAGTAGCTACGCACGGACTCTCATCACCTCGTGTGTACGTAACACCCACAATTAGAAACAATTATTAATGTAAATCACCTATGGGGTAAATTTTCTCTTACAAGGTTAGACAAGAGACTTACCTTATCTCAAAGTTCACTTCCCGATCAAAATGTCACGTAAAAACCTCAATTCAATGCCGAAAAGTCTGAAACTATCCAAAAATTATATAAAATAATTAATACATGTTCAATAATTTGAAATTAGACTATTAAATAAATTACCCTATTCAAAATGGTAAAAATTCTAAAATTCACCCCAGGCCCACGTGCCCGGATTCCGAAAATTTTCGGAGGAAATCATTACCCATAATATCAAGAACTCAAATATATAATTTTCATCCAATTCCATAACCATTTTCGTGGTTAAAATCTCATTTTTATTAAAAAAAAAACTAGGTTTTTATCTAAACCCTTGATTTCCAAGATTTACCAGTTATAATATACCCATAATATATGTATTTAACTCAAAGTGTGTAGAACTAACTTACCTTCAAGTTGCTAGTTGAAATCCCCTCTCAAAAAGCTCCAAAATCGCCCAAGAATGGATAAAATGGGCTCAAAATGGCTGAGCCCCGATTTTTAACCCATTATGCCAAGCAGTGGTTTCGCATCTGCGGCTCGCAAGCCGCTTCTGCGTCACCGCATCAGCGAAAAAGGCGGCGCAGATGAACTTCCCCCTAAGCCGGCTCCGTCCGCTTCTGCGCCTTGTACGTCGCATCTGCGATGCGCCTCTGCGGCTTGTACCTGCGCATCTATGCCCCTTCCACTTTTGCGGTGTCCTCCATGCACCTGCAGACTTGCACCTACAACTGGCCAAGCGCAGGTGCGGTTGCAGCAGAAGCTAAAAGCATCAGTTGCTGCTCCAAAGTCCAAAATTGATCTGAGCCTTGTCCGGTTAACCCCCGAGGTCCCCAGGGCACCTCCCGAACATACCAACAAGTTTGAAATCATAATACGGACTCACTTGAACCCTCGGAACGTGTAAAACAACATCAAAACTAAGAATCATACCTCAACCCAAATTGATTTAACTTAGAAATTTCAAATTCTTCAAACTTACTACGAATGCGCCGAAATATACTTATACTACTCGGAATGACACCAAATTTGGCGTGGAAGTCTTAAATCACCATACGAAGCTATTCTCAGGCTTATAATTCCAAACAAACCTCAATTACTCCAAAACCTACTTCAAACCAAATTTAAAAAAATATTAAACCTGCAAATAGTTGATTTTCACTATTAAGCATCGAAACGCTCCCGAGTTGTCCAAAACCTGATTCGAACATACCCTCAAGTCCAAAATCATCATACAAACCTATTGAAACCGTCATATTCCGATTTCGAGGTCGTTTACTCAAAATGTTGACCGAAGTCAAACTTAACATTTTAAGGCCAACTTAAGGAACCAAGTGTTCCGATTTCAACCCGAACACTTCCAAATCCCGAACCAACCTTCCCCGCAATTCATAAATTAATAAAATCACATACAAGGAGTTTTATTTAGGGGAACGAGATTCTAAAAGTTAAAATGACCGGTTGGTCATTACAGTAAGCAAATAACTCAACAGCAGAAATGACCTTAGTGGGTCCCAACAGAATAAACATATACCCTAGACATGTTTTCTAACATGGGTCACAGGTCAATTACTCAAGCACGTAGAGATTTCATGGATACAAATAAGATTATTTAACTACACAATACCACAAAAATAACCGAGTCACAATTTACACAGTGCACGCCCACATGCCCGTCACCTAGCATGTGCGTCACCTCAACACTAAACGCATATCACGTATATTCAGGGGTTCATACTCTTAGCACCAAGTTTAGAAATGTTACTTACCTAGAACAAGCCAAATCCAATACCGAGCAAACCAAATGATACTCCAAAAATTCCATCCCCCGCGTACCGACCTCTAAACGGCTCCAAACTAACCAAAAGAAACTCAAATATATCAAATAATGCTGAAGGAAACAATTCCAAATGATAAAGGTCGCGTCTTTAATCAAAACCCCGAAATTAACCAAAACGTCAAACTCAGGCGTACACCTCGGAACCCGATAAAACTCACAAAATTTGACAACTGTTTCTCTCAAACGCGCACGCAAGTATACGTGGTCGTACAAGTAATAAAATTATAAGTCGAGTGTCGAACCCACAGAGACTTGTATCAACTACCCACTAAAATCACCAAGATTGTTATTCAGTCAAGCCAAAATCGAGTTCAAGAATGTGATTATACTAAACTATAATTCTAAGTAGTAACTAAATTATCAAGTAGCAAAATAATTGTGGTGTATTCAGTAGAGACAAATATTTCAGGGTTGTGATCGATTCATCAATCCTATTGTGTTCTAGTTAACTCTCCATTTCATACAATTCACTAATGGTTGCTAATTAGTCGAACAATTTCTCTCATAGCCTTATCCCGAAGTACTACTCTCTTATTCAAAATAAATTAAAGCCTATATTCCTATAAAATCAATCTATCAAGAATGCATTAAGATTACGATATTTAATTAAGCATGATGGCTAGGTATATTCCTATCCTAACCACAAATCCCCCCCCCCCCCCNAAACCCCCCCCCCCCCCAAGAGTTAAGATCATTCTCTCTTCAATTCTTCTCTAATCTAAACATGGCTTTCCCAAACATAGCACAGATAGCAAATAGAACCTAATTGTTGGCCATACAATTAAGTAATTAATCATAGAATTGAAGAAACAACCATATATTAGTGAATTGCAATAAAGGTTAAGTCAACGTAAAACAACAATATTCATGGCTAAATCACAACCCCAGAACTATGGGTTGTATCCACTCATGTTCGTGGTAACAATTTTTGAAGTATTTTTCATAAATAAATTACAAGAAAAATATAAATGGATGAAGAACTCTATGATTTTCTCCTCCAAAAGTTGTCCACATGATGTTCTTGCCTCCGGTCGCCAAACTACCGAAAAACGATATTTAATGACTATTTATATGTGTAGGAAAGAGACCTAGACGAAATAACCAAGTCCAAAACCAAATAGGAGACAAAGTAGGCTTTAAAAATCTGGAACACGCTCACCATGGGCCTCGCCTAGCAAGGCAAAACGCACAATCCACCTCGCCTTCAGCCCGTGCGATGCAAGATCTGCCGCGCGCCTCCTTCTCGCGTTAGCCTTGGCGTCGCAAGCTCAGTAGCGAGCAACAAGGCTCATGTCGCCTAATCAATAGCGAGCAACAAGGCTTGCGTAGCCTGATTGCTGCTTCGTTTCAATTCTGTTGCTTTGCTTAACTTTTGCCTTTCACGTTTTTGTTTCTTTATTTTCCAAAATCCTTTGCATTGTTCTTTTTTTCCTCTTGTGATTTATCTTCAATCCTTGTCTCAATTATTCCTTCTTCATCAATAATTTCCTTATCATTATATAATCATAAGCCCAATGTTTTAGTGCATGAAACACCCTTTAAATATTTACTTTGCTCCAGTTGCATCTCCAATGTACCTACACATAAAATAGACTCGATTAAGCACAAATATAGTATAGTTTAGCATTAAAACATCTAAAATTTAAGGTAAGTAATGCAGTAAAAATATGGAATTATAGCCAAACATTACTACCCCACACTTAAACGTTGCTCGTCCTCGAGTAATCAAACTACACTTTATATAGACACGACCTTTTTAAACAGTTCTCCTAACTCATCACACCAAGAATTTTTAAAATAGACTAAGCGCAAGAGTGTAACATCTTCACCTCAAGATTTGACTCACAAGTACCATGTATTATTCACAACTCACTCACTTACTCTAAAATAGAGGTCAATGACATTACCTTTCCTTCATGAATCAAGTGCCCTTACACAACAAAAGAGAGTAGTTCCACACACACTAAAATTTAAGAACAATCAGGAACTCAAGATAGAAAAAATTCACTCACTCTCAGAAATAACATTCATATGCCACAAAAGATGCGCCATAGGCTTGCCCGTAGTGTACTACTCTACTAATCAAGCTCATTCAGTCTAGGATCAAGTAGGACTTTAATTGGTTGTAATGTAGGCTGCGGGTCGGGTAGGATACATTTGGATATAAGAGTGACTACACCTCTCTAATCACTTTAATACATACACTTTAACATTTAAACCCCACACTTATGTCAAACCATAACTCCACCTTTACATCAATTTATATTAACTCCATACTTCTTTAAGCACAATTACATCAAGAGTCACCACTATCAAGGAATATTTTTCACAGTAATACAACTATTTTTTCCTTTCTTTCTTTTTCAATTCAAACGGCTTTTATTTTTTTTTCAAAACGGTGCACCTTTCTCCTTATTTCATTAGTTCCACTCAAAAGCCAAACCAACCACCCCACACTTTAACTTTTACAAAGTTCATAACAATTCAAGTGCTTATGAGAGGTGAAAAGGTTCAAATAGATGGTTAATTCAAAAAAGAGGTAAGGCTTGTAATGTGGTTGCCCAAGAAACAGGATTACAGGCTCAAAGGGTTAACTACGATACATAATAATTAGGCGGATAAACTATATATATCTGGCTCAACAAAGAAATGCCTATATCACTTCCTAGACTGAACAAAACTGCTATTTCGCTTCGCAAACACACGGGGCAAGTTTTAGACATTAAATGCAATACACAGAATAGCACACAAACCTCACACACACATGGCACATAACTCACTCAGGATTGGATTCATCAAGACACTCTAGTCAAAGAAGTTAAGCAAAGTTAAGATTATACAATTTAAGATACTTATGCAAGAGTCAAAAACTGAGTTTAAGTGTCACAACCAAAGTACTCACTATTCTCAAGGCATCACAAAGTCAGGAGATATCGCTTTAATTCAATTCATAGCACAATGGCTCCTACTTCTAAAAAATAAAACTAACTACACCTGGTTCAAACAAAACCCTTGGAAAAGAACCGCGGTACAAAGAAAAACCAAGGGGGAATTACTACACTACCTATAAAGAAAATATTTTTCTCCTTTTTCTTTCAAATTAAATCCCTCAAGGAACCTGTCGAATGAGATCCATCGTCGGGAGAAGTCCGAATTTTCTATATTTGTTTCGGTTTTTTTTAACGCACTACTACTAATCATCTAGAGAAATTCTCCCACCCCATACTTAAAAGAGTGCAGTATCCCCAATGCATAGATAAGCAAAACAATAATGAGGGTGGATAAGAAACTCCCTGAAAGGCCAAAGGCTGAAGCAATAGCGGCTCACGGGTACTCAAACTTCCCCCAGGCATGGTCCTTTGTGTGGCACCCCACACTTAGTTCTCACCATCTAACTTGCTTTTGCACTCTTCCCATGGCTTTGCCTCTTATGCTTATAATCCTACAAAATAAAAACAAATACTACAACAATAATAAGAAAAAAATAGAAAAAAACGAAAGCAGTAAAGATGGGTTGCCTCCCAACAAGCGCCTGATTTAACGTCGCAGCACGACGCAGAATCTCGCTTACTCATCAGCAAGTACAACCTTGGTCTTCTCACGATCAATTATTCCTCCCCAATAATGCTTTACTATGTGTCCATTCACCAAAAAAAAATTCTTTCACCATTCAAAGCTCGCAGCTCAATTGCACCATAAGGAGTGACTCTCACTACCTCAAACGGGACCATCTCGATTTTAACTTCCCAGGAAATGGCTTTAGTCTAGAATTTAACAATAATACATGTTGGCCTGGTTCGAAGTGACGCGGTTTGATATGCTTGTCATGCCATCTTTTTGTCTTTTCTTTGTAAAGCTTAGCATTTTCATAAGAGTGCAGCCTGAACTCATCTAACTCATTCAACTGTAAGAGTCTTGTCTCGCCCGCAACTTCAAGGTCCATATTTAACTTCTTAATGGCCCAATATGCTTTGTGTTCAAGTTCAACAGGCAAGTGACATGCCTTCCCATAAAATAGCCTATACGACGACGCCCCAAATGGCATTCTGTATGCAGTTCTATATGCCCACAAAGGATCATCTAGCTTTGCAGCCCAATCTTTTCTATTCACACTCACCGTCTTTTCAAAGATTTGCTTTATTTCTCTATTAGATACCTCAGCTTGTCCACTTGTTTGAGGATGATATGACATTGCAACTCTATGGCGGACTCCATATTTAGATAGAAGGTTATTAAACAACCGATTGCAAAACTGTGTCCCTTCATCACTAATCAAAGCACGTGGAGTCCCGAAAATCGAAAATTGTTCTTTTTCACAAATGCGGCTACCACCATGGCATCATTCGTTGGCAATGTGATCGCCTCTACCCATTTTGACACGTAGTCAACTGCTAGCAAAATGTATTTGTTTCCTCTGGACAATGGGAATAGTCCCATAAAATCTATCCCCCACACATCAAAATTCTCGACCTCCGGGATGTTTTTCAAAGGCATTTCATGCCTCTTTGTGATTGTTCCTGTTCTCTGACACTGGTCACACTTCTTAACAAATGCATGGGCATACTTGAATAATGTTGGCCAAAATAAACCGGATTATAATACCTTTGCAGTTGTTCTATCGCCTCCATGATGGCCCCCATAGGGTGATGCATGACAATCATATAACACTAGTTCGACCTTCTTTTCAGGTATGCATCACCTCATCATTTGGTCAGCACACTGCTTGTACAAATATGGCTCATCCCAATAGTAGAAGTTCACATCATGTAGAAACCTCTTTCTAGCTTCAGATTCAATTTCAGGTGGAAGTTCCTCGCTCACCAGATAATTCACATAGTTCGCGTACCATGGGGGAGGGTCTTGGGTGATAACAAAAGTTGCTCATCAGGAAATACTTCTTTAATTTGGTCACCCTCCTCCACGTGGTCGTGATTTTCCAGCCTTGATAGATGGTCAGCTATTTGGTTATCTGCGCCCTTTCGATCTCGTATTTCCACATCAAATTCCTGCAAACTCAGCGCATCAATCTAGCCTTAGATTCCTTCTTTGTAAATAGATACCTTATTGTTGCATAATCGGTATGGACTATGACTTTTGTTCCCACTAAGTATGCCGGAAATTTCTCAAATGCCCACACCATAGCTAACAACTCCTTTTCAGTGGTGGTGTAATTCAGCTACGCATCATCAAGAGTCTTACTCGCATAGTAGATGGAATAAAATATTTTGTCCTTCCTCTGGCCTAGCACTGCCCCAATAGCATGGTCACTTGCATCACACATAAACTCAAATGGTAAGTACCAATCTGGTGCGGCAATAATAGGGGCAACCACCAGCTTCTTTTTGAGCTCTTAAAATGCTTTCAGGCAGGCGCCGTCAAAATTGAAAGTCACATCTTTTTCAAGCAACATGCACAAAGGAGTAGCAATTTTAGAAAAATCTTTAATAAAGCGTCGATAGAATCCCGCGTGTCCCAAGAAACTCCGGACACCCTTCACAGAAATGGGTGGAAGTAATTTTTCAATCGCCTCCACCTTCGCCTTATCAACTTCAATGCCGCTCCTAGACACTCTGTGACCTAACATGATGCATTCCTGCACCATAAAATGGCACTTTTTCCAATTCAATACCAGATTTGTTTCTTCACAACGGGCCAACACCTTGCTCAAATTCTTCAAACAATCATCATAAGAAGACACAAAGACTGAAAAATCATCCATAAAAACTTCCACAAATTTTTCCACCATATCAGTGAAAATAACCATCATGCATCGCTGGAAAGTAGCTAGTGCATTACAAAGACCAAACCGCATTCGCTTGAAGGCGAAAGTGCCATAAGGACAAGTAAATGTGGTCTTCTCCTGATCATCTGAGCATATAACGATCTGGTTGTACCCCAAATAACCATCAAGGAAGCAATAATAATCATGCCCCGCCAATCTGTCCAACATTTGGTCAATGAATGGAAACAGGAAGTGGTCCTTGCGGGTTGCTTTGTTGAGCTTTCTGTAATCAATGCAAACTCTCCACCCCTTCACAGTGCGAGTAGGAATTAGCTCATTTTTTTCATTCTCAACCACAATCATCCCTCCCTTTTTAGGCACACATTGTACTGGGCTTACCCAGCTGCTGTCACAGATGGGAAAGATGATACCAGCATCGAGCCACTTAATTACTTTCTTTTTCACGACTTCTTTCATGATAGGATTCAATCTCCTCTGCTGCTCAACACTGGGGTGGTGTCCATCTTCCATAAAGATTTTATGCATGCAAAATGATGGACTAATTCCTTTGATGTCAACAATTATCCACCCTATAGCCTTTTTATGCTCGCGAAGTACTCTGAGCAATTTTTCTTCTTGTACATTAGTCAGCCTGGATGAGATAATTACTGGCAATGTTTCAGAGTTCCCCAAATAAGCGTAGCATAGATGTGCTGGAAGGGGCTTTAATTCTAGCTTTGGAACTTCCTCAATAAATGGCTTAGGAAGGGTCAGAGTAACAAGCCTGCCCAACTCCACAAACTTCCCAACCCATGGACATAATTTCATGATGTATATCAAGTACTTGTTCAATTTCGCCCATCATCTTATCTTTAATGTCTTTTTCATTCCCAATCAAAGCTCCTTCAAGAGGATCTATGGGGCTCATATAAGGCACCAATGACATTGCATTGCTTTCCACTACATAAATCATGGATAGCTCTTCATAGTGGGCTGGCAATCTGAGTGCTTTGTACACATTAAATACCTCCACTTGATCACCTACTCTCATCATCATCTTTCATTCGCATACATCAATAATAGCTCGGCCTGTGGATAATAATGGATGCCCCAAAATAAATGGGACTTCCTGATCAGGCTCGTAGTCCAAGATAATGAAATCAGCAGGGAAAATAAAAGACCCAACTTGAACTAACACATCTTCAATCACTCCTTCCGTATGAGCAAGGGAGCGATCAGCCAACTGTAAGATTACCGTTGTTGGGTGCGGCTCACCCAAACCCAACTGTCTGAACATAGATAACGGCATCAGATTGATGCTCACTCCAAGATCACACAAAGCTTGCCCGACTGTATGCTTACCAATCGAGATTTGGATAGTGAAAATACCTGGATCCTCCAATTTCTGAGGTAGCTTGCTTTGGATTCTAGAGCTACATTCCTTAGTGAGTGCCACAGTCTCGAATTCAGTTAGCTTCCTTTTATTTTCCACTATGTCCTTGATGTCTTTTGCATATTTGGGCACTTCTTGCGGGATGTCTACCAGTGGAATATTTATTTGCACTTGCTTCAAAATATCAAGAAATTGTTTATACGCGGCATTATCCTTCACTTTCTGCAATCTTTGAGGGAACGAAGGTGGTGGTCTCGCAACTAATGGTGGGGGTTGCTTAGCCACCGCCTCTTCATCTGGCTTTTCAGACTCCTTTTATTTTTCTGATTCTGACTCTATAGTGGCCGACTTCTCATTAAAGGTCACTTGTTTTCTCTTTTCCGACTAGACTTCTTCTAATTATCTCACATTCTGTAATAAAATAGAATTAATAGATGCCTTAAGATTAGCCTCAGTGTCACTTGGAAGAGCTCCAACTGGTCGAGTATTTTGGGCACTGGCAAGTTGTCCCATTTGGCACTCCAAATTTCTCACTGATGCGGCTTGGGCCTGCTGGTCAACCATCACTTCTTTATCATCTCTGCGATGTGGGCTTGTTGGCCAGCCATCAATTTATTCATCATTTCCTCAACGTGATTTGTTGAGTTTTCCTGTTGTTAAGCCTGAGGTGGTCTATATTGTTATTGAGGTGATTGTGGTTGGTATTGATTTTGAGCACCTTGATTTCCACCCCAAGAGAAGTTTGGATGGTTTCTCCAGTTGGGATTGTAAGTGTTCCCATATTGGTTTGTCTGGCCCCTATTTGCATTACCCACAAAGAAGACAGACTCTGGATTAACTGGCCATAAGTCGCTCGTGTGAACCTCTCCACATACTTCACAAAACACTTGAACTTGTTGCACTGGTTGATCTTGTTGATTGTTAATAACCAAGGTCATCTGATTGACTTGGTTGGTCAGCTTAGAAATATGCACTGATAATGCAGAGACGACATCTAACTCGAGAACCCCTGCAGATTTTTGCACTGTGTGTCTGTCCATTTCTCCTTGCCAATCCGGATTGCTTTTGGAGAATTTGTTTAATAATTCATATATCTCGTCAAAGCTTTTCTCAAACACTTGACCTCCAACTGCAGCATCTACTACAATTTTTGTCTCAGGATGTAGCCCTTATATGAAAGTGTGAGCTAACACTTCGTTTGTCTGATTATGATGAGGACAATCTTTGAGCAGCCCCTTGAACCTCTCCCAAGTGGAATATAGAGACTCCCCCGCTTTCTGTTTGAAGGCGACTATCTCACTTCTGATCTTTGCAGCTTTGCCTGAAGGGAAGAACCTTACCAGAAATTTCCTTGCCAGATCATTCCATGATGAAATAGAATTAGCTGGTTCTGCCTTCGGCCATCGCTTTGCTTCGCCCAATAGAGAGAATGGGAAAAGTGTGAGCCTCACATAGTCTGGAGTGTCCCCGTTAGTGATGTAAGTATCACTAATCTCCAAGACGTTCAGGATATGCTGTTGTGGATCCTCGTGTGGAAGACCCATAAACTGCCCATTCGCATGAAGTAGTTGGATCATGCTTTGTTTCAGCTCAAAGTGCCTAGTGATTCTGGGCAAAATAATGTTAGAGGTGACATTAGCAATGCTGGGCATCGCCACTTCCTGAAAAGCCATGTGTTGCTCCTCTGCCATGTTCACATGAAATTAAACAAGTGCCTGAAGATTATTTGTATCCCTTGCTTCCCTCAACCTCCTATGAAATGTTCTCTTAGGTTCGTGGTCAAAGCCTTTAAGTTTGTCCTGGCTTTTGACCCTGCGCATTCAATCGAAGTTCCTGAGATCAGAGCAACAATCAAGTAACGTTAGACTTGACGAAATAAACAATTAAAGCAAAAACTAGAAAGTAGTTGATATTCAAGTCCCCGACAACGACGCCAAAAACTTGTTGCTCCCAAACGTACACGTAAGTATACGTGGTCGTACAAGTAATAAAATTATAAGTCGAGTGTCAAACCCACAGAGACTTGTATCAAGTACCCACTAAAATCACCAAGATTGTTATTTAGTCAAGTCAAAATCGAGTTCAAGAATGTGATTATACTAAACTATGATTCTAAGTAGTAACTAAATTATCAAGTAACAAAATAATTGTGGTGTATTCAGTAGAGACAAATATTCCAGGGTTGTGATCGATTCACCACTCCTATTGTGTTCTAGAACTCTCCCTTTCATACAATTCACTCATGATTGCTAATTAATCGAACAATTGCTCTCATATCCTTCTCCCGAAGTACTACTCGCCTATTCAAAATAGATTAACGTCTATATTACTATGAAATCAATCTATCAAGAATGCANCCAAGCATAGCATAGATAGTAAATAGAACCTAACTGCTGGCCAGACAATTAAGTAATTAATCACTGAATTGAATAAACAATCATATATTAGTGAATTGTAATAAAGGTTAAGTCAGCATAAAACAACAATATTCATGGCTAAATCACAACCCCAGAACTATGGGTTTTAGCCACTCATGTTCGTGGTAACAATTTTCCAAGTATTTTGCATAAATAAATTACAAGGAAAAGATAAAGGGATGAAGAACTCTATGATTTTCTCCTCCAAAAGCTGTCCACGTGATGTTCTTGCCTCCGGCTGCCAAACTCCCGAAAAATGGTGTTTGATGACTATTTATATGTGTAGGGAAGAGACCTAGACAAAATAACCAAGTCTAAAACCAAATAGGAGACAAAGTAGGCTTTAAAAATCCGGAACACGCTCGCCACGGGCCTCGCCTTGCGAGGCAAAATGCACAGTCCACCTCGCTTTCAGCCCGTGCGACGCAAGATTTGCCGCGCGCCTCCTCCTCGTGTTAGCCCTAGCGGCGCAAGCTCAGTAGCGAGCAACAAGGCTCACGTCGCCTGATCAATAGAGAGCAACAAGGCTTGCGTAGCCTGACTGCTGCTTCGTTTCAATTCTGTTGCTTTGCTTAACTTTTGCCTTTCGCGTTTTTGTTTCTTTCTTTTCCAAAATCCTTTGCATTGTTTTTTTGTCCTCTTGTGATTTATCTTCAATCCTTGTCTCAATTATTCCTTCTTCATCAATAATTTTCTTATTATTATATAATCATAAGCCCATTATTTTAGTTCATGAATCACACTTTAAATATTTACTTTGCTCCAATTTCATCTCCAATATACCTACACATAAAATAGACTCAATTAAGCACAAATATAGTATAGTTTAGCATTCAAACACCTAAAATGTAAGGTAAGTAATGCACTAAAAATAAGGAATTATAGTCAAACATCAACAACTCATTAATTTACGTGTCCAGCCATACTAGTTTCACTCAACTCCAACTCAAAATCAATGCTTAAAACCTGAAAATTCACTTTATGAAACTTTAGACAAAAAACCCCAATTTTCTCTTTAAAATTCATAATTCAATTACCAAAAACGAAGATAGATTCATGAAATATAATCAAAACCGAGTATTGAATACTTACCTTAATCCTTGTGATGAAATTTACCTCCAAAATCGCTCAAATCTGAGCTCCCTAACTCAAAATGTGAATAAAATAGCCAAGCCCTCGATATATATATCTTCTGCCCAGGCATCGTCGCATCTGCAACACACTTAGCCGCTTTTGCGACCAAAATTTCGCTTCTACGGAGAAGCACTGGATAAATGGCCCTCGCACCTGTGGAAAAACATCTGCTCCTGTGATATCACATGTGCGACACTCAAATACGCATCTGCGCAAACGTCTGCTCCTGCGCTCACGATCTCGCTTCTGCGCGCACGCAGGTGCGCTACAAATTTCGCTTTTGTGGAGGTAGCCCAACTCAGCCTTCATCGCAGATGAGACCATACTTCCGCTTTTGCGACCACCGCACCTGTGCAAAACCAGCCGCAGGTGCGATCACACCCTATCCTGCTAAAAACCAGCCCTAACCAAAATTTCCAAAATGATCTGAATCATGTCCGAAGCTTTCCCGAGCCTCTCGGGACTCCGTTTGAATATACCAAAATGTCCCATATCATAACACGTACTTACTTGAGGCCTCAAATCACACGTAACAACATCGAAATGATGAATCGCACCTCAAATCAAATTCAATGAACTTTGAATCTTTCAACTTCCAGAACTCGTGCCGAAATATATCAAATCAATCCGGAATGAGATCAAACTTGCACACAAGTCCCAAATGACATAATGAAGCTATTCAAATTCTCATAACCACAATCCAAACCCGACATCATCAAAGTCAACTCCCGGTCAAACTTATGCACTTTTCAAACCTTCAAATTTTCAACTTTCGCCAATTACTGGTGAAACCTTCTAGAAATTTCCAAATGCAAATCCAGGCATACGCCCGAGTCTAAAATCACCATCCGGACCTAACGGAACCATCAAAACTCCGAACCGAGGTCAAATATTAAAAAGTCAAACTTGGTCAACTCTTCCAACTTAAAGCTTCAATCATGAAATTCATTCTTCCAAATCGATTCCGAATAACCTGAAAATCAAAACCGGCGATTCACACAAGTCATAATACATCATACGGAACTACTCCTACCCAAACTATCTAGCTAAGTGCAAATTACTCAAAAAGACTGATCGGATCGTTACATTTTATTACTTATATTAGTTTGCCACTAAACTCATAGGGAAAAGGAGTTTTTAGTTTTCCATCTCACTGTGTCACGACCCAAAATCCCCATCTTCGGGACCGTGATGGCGCCTAATATTTCACTTGCTAGGTAAGCCAATGTTAGAATAATTTAAATCATTTTTAATAATTTATTTTAATTAAATAATAGAGAACCAACAAACGGAATAATATCTGAATTTAAATGTGCAAACCAAAAATAATACGATGTCTAAATACCATTCCAGAACTGGAGTCACAAGTGCACAAGCTTTTAGAATAATACAAACAAGGGTCTAAATAAAAATAAAGTTGTCTGAAAGAAAGCACACATATAAAATAAAGTAGAAGGGGACTTCAGAGTTGCGAACGACGTGCAGCTATACCTCAAGTCTCCACTGATAGCTGAATCTGAGCAAAATCTACAGTACGCCGCTGGGACCAACTCCAGTATCTGCACAAGAAATGCAGAGTGTAGTATGAGTACAACCGATCCCATGTACTTTATAAGTGCCGAGCCTAACCTCGACGAAGTAGTGACGAGGCTAAGGCAGGTCGCTTACATTAACTTGTACGTAGTAATAATAATAATAATAATAATAATAATAATAATAATAATAATAATAATAATAATAATAATAATAATAATAATAATAACAACAACAACAGGAAAAGAAGTAAGACCTGTAAATCATATCAATAATTGAAGTCAATTCAGCACTCATAATTCTTCAATTAATTTCCGTTGCTGCATGCAACCCGCTCCAACAATATAAACTTAGAATAAAATCGGTTGCGGCGTGCAACCCGATCCAACAATATAATCTTTCAATTTAATTATGTTGCTGCGTGCAACCCACTCCAACAATATAAACTTTTAATAATTATGTTGCGGCGTGCAACCCGCT